TAATTTCAGTGGTGAATTAAATAACAAGTGAGTACCATCCTGCACTTCAAAACAAACATGATTCTTAGAACAATATGCTCCATGTTTAAACGAGCCTCCTAGGATCTCATACTAATTATGCTGCTGCGGAACCATTGCTGGAATAAGAGCGGGGCAGGCCAAAACTTTTTATAACACTGTAACGTGCGTAAAAGTTATAAAACTCACATTATTCAAAGGACTGACTGCTCCATCGGCACCGACAGGACACCCGCTCATTGCATAGCGTTCCTGAGCAACATGATCAGTTGACTTTGGACAACTCGCACCACCCCCTGGAGCAGAACAAGGAACTGAGAACTGATGATCGGAATGAAAAGACGATTACCGAGAATAGTAAAAAAGACGAAAAATGATGAGTTAAAGAATAAAACCAAAATAAAGCCTTCAAACCTGCAGAAGCCATTGCTGCGCGGGCGTGTTTTATCCGATCAGCTTCAGTCATATTTACCTTTTCGTGGTTCGCATGTTTCGGACATTCTGGAGGAACCTTAAGCGAGTTCAAGTATTCCGTACGCCATTAAAAGGGAGAGCACAAGACTCAAAACTCACCTGTTGGGTCTGAGAAGACTGCTCGGAACCCATTGCCAAGAATCTGAACGCAATGTGCAGTAAGAGTGAAAGCAGTTGAGACTGACTGACGCATTGATAATTGAGATACTTGTGCTGATGCAAAAGAAATCGAGGGTCGGTTAGGGCTGTATCTTTAACAGCAATCGCTGCAGTGGGTGAAGGTGATATTATCAGGATAACATCAACACACAGGGAGATGAAGTTTTGAACCATTTCCAACAAATGAAGTCACTACGCAGGGAAGGATGTACTGAATCTGATATAAAGCCTTTTTTCTCATAATACATGTACGACTGTTGGTCAGGCAAGCTGCAGAGTCTTCGGTTGATCGACAAAATTTAGCTGCAGTTATTTACAACCCCCTAAACTGTACATACTAAATCATGCCCAAACTACTGTACATCCCATTTCAACAGCCATGTTTCCGATCAAGACAAAAACCAAATGAAGAAAAAAAAANAAAAAAAAACAGAAGAAAAACCTTTTAAAAAAGCTGATGCAAGAATTTCAACATATGCGGTCTCGAAGCGAATCGATAATTAGTGAGTGCGAGCAAGCGAAATGGCTTGGAGCGCGTAAGTGAACCCAATTTCTTTGCTCCAACGATGAACGCGAATTTAAAGGTTCTCATTTAAATGCCCATTTTGGATATTAAACATCGTTGCGGTTATTTAGCGGTTATTTCGTTGGCGTATATCTTGTTTATTGTGATATTTTCAAGTTTAGAATATACTAGCTGAGGTGAATGCGCCATTTTTGTAAGTTCTTTGCTATTCGATGAGGTTTGTTTTTTATTCTTCAATCTCACTACAAATATCATTCATTATGAAGCTATCTTATCAAAGGAAAAGGTGCTTTTCTTTTGGAGATATCTAAAAATGTGGAATTGTGACGTAATATAGAAATGTTGACTTTTCACTGCATATTGACTGACCAGTGAAGGATCCTAAGTCGAAGTGGATTCATAAGAATTTCTGGTGGTAGGTTGGAGCAGGGGTGGGGGTGACGTTTCATGTGCGAGAGACTAGGGTTCGGGTTTTGTCGAGGATGAGAATTTTGCTTTAGACTGAATTTCTCTCTTGTAGCCTATAGATTACTTTGATGAAAATTCATGCAAATGTGTTACTGAGGAAATTGTGTGGCAGATGAAGGTTTCGCGGTGGAGGAAGTCTGACTGAAAACCAATTGAAATCGATCAATTCATTGGAATAAGCCGCGCTTTCGATTTCCATTTATAGTAGCAGCGCCATTCCATTGTGGTATATGCCATGCCATAAGCTGTAGGTACATCAATTTTTTACCCTCTACGAAAAACTGCGGAGTTCGGTTGACACAAGCGAGATTAGATCCTGCGAAAGGCGTGTGTAAATAGCAGCGGCGCAATTAGCCGTTTCCCCATCTTGTTAGTATTTCCGCAGGTATTCGTGGTCCTAACGGAGAGATTCATGTCCGATTGTCTGCTAGGTAATTCAGAAAACTTTGAAACTATAGGTGGGAGGGGAAAGGGGAGCACTGCTCTTTTTCAACAGCTAGAGCGCAGAGATGAGTAGCCAACGTTGCGAGCCGATGTTTGTGCTCAGCCAAGAGATATAATTTCTTTTTTCAAACTGTCTCAGCAGGCAGGATGCACCGGTATGAGTGGGACAATTGAATGTCCAATACTTACATGATTCCAACTTTTTGCACGAGGAATACATCTCTCCCATCAGGGTACTTCTCCCTGCTAATGCTTTCTGTTAGTTAAAAATCAAATACCATTGGCTAGTAGAAAAAACCTTCTCTAAGCACAAACAAGCCAACCATCCTTCCTTCTTTGCGCTCTAGCTATTCAGCATTGGGGCAGCGCGGTTCCCCTTTCTACTCTCCCCCCCCCCCCCCCCCCCCCCCCCTCCCTCATTTACACCCGGAAACTTTGAAATTGATCGAGCTATAGAAATTCTAATTTATTTCGAGTTCAATTGAATGTGCGCTCGTGCCGTTTACGAAGCAACCTTGACCCCATCTGGTGCACGTAGATCGATACCGTATGACATCTTTCACCATTTCCGATTCGGCGATTCCACATTTCACAGCGTTGCCCTGCCGATGCGGTTAATCATTTGAATCGATTAAATTTGAGATTTGGTGACCTTCCATCCAGTCTACCAGTTTTCTCAGATCCGAACATTTCCCTTTAATCGTTCACCAGCTAAAGAAACTGCTTTGTTCGTTTTATCGGTAATGTTCAGACTTTTCTCATCTTCAGAGTTGGAAATCAGCTGTGGATCCTTTTTGAGATGGCACTTCAATCGAAGAAATGTACCCAAGAAATGTATTGAATTTCCCCACATAATTGAGGGTTTACAAGTTACGCTGTAATAGCCCTAGAATTCTCCGACTTATCCAATTTTTCTCCTTTTGAACTTCGATTTTTAGTACTTTAGATACATAGCGAGCGGGTCCAATGCACCCTTGTAATCAACAAGGAGCACCAGAGTTCATAGATTTTCCGTATCTGCGCTGCGGAAAACTAGAATTATCGCAATATTCTTTCTTAAATGACAAAAATGTTGAGCTACTCGTCGCTGATTAGACACGCCAGAGTACGCCATGTACTGGATTTCCATTCGGAATCGCTTAGGCATTTTGAATCGCGTTTGTATCTTTGAAAGAGTTAGCAACTGTAGGATTTCGTCCAAGCAAGACTTTGTATTACGATGGATACGTCGAAGGCTTCGCATGGACATAGAATCAGTCTTTGGGTGTTCTCAAGCCAGCAATGACTCTTAACGTTTGTTTCATTTCCAAATGAATAGCTGATTGATTGGAGCCTGTCAACGGGCATATGAAGAATAGCAACTGAGTTTTTACCCTGGCTATTACGAGGTACTCCATTAGATTGTTTAAGCGCCTCTGAAGCCTTTTAGATCAGACTTGCTGGAGAGAACTAGTTCCTGTCTCCCTCGGCCCACTCACTCCTCCCATTTGAGCATGCCTGTCTGTTTCCCCTTACAGGTTTTCGTATGGACTTATTTTATACTCCGAAATCTCCCATTGTTTTGAAGTGAGGAAGAGAATGTGGCGCAACCTATTTCCATTCATTGAGCAGTGTTAAATACTACCTGTCATTGCACATTTTTTGACTTTTATTTATGGCTTTAGCTTCTATCCATAGTCAAATTTCCCCCATTCGAACGTTGGACTTTCTTGCAAAGGAAAGCGAGCCCACGCGTCATTCCGTAGTTCTCGTGATAGCACAGATCTCACTCCACCCTTCGCCGTTGTCGCCAGTGCTGTCGATATCTTCTTATCTTCTGTCGTCTAATGTCAGTAAAACATTCTTGTCGAACACAGCGATTAAAGATTTCTTGATTGAAAAACGGCGAAATACTTCAAAACAATTCGTAGAACCAACCAGCGGCCACTAGCTGGTGGTTGATTCTACCAGCTATGCTTGTAGTTACGACCTCAATATGGGATCGTTAACCTTTATGATCTGGAAATAGATTGGGCACGCAAAAAGTGGAAACTTCAGTGGTTCACTTCTGGATATCATTGATTTCTCTGCTTTTGAGATTCCTTATTACTTTTCCAAAGTAAACTGCAAGGTGGGAAGGCGAGTGTATTGAGAATTCGATTGAATTCACTGCTGCTCGCCGAAGGATGAAAGACTCGGCTGATTACTATGCAATTCAATCAGGGGAACAAGCTAGAGAGGGCGGCGCTATTTCAGGTCATTTTCATTGTGAAATGAATATCTTTGGGACAAATCGAAATTGCAAATCTCAATCTGAAATTTCTCAATTGGAATCGTCATCTTCTCATTGCTTTCTTTT